AAACGTGAAAAATGTGAATACTGACTGGTGTGGGTGTCCTTACGATAAATGTCAGTACCATCAACCGAGACTTTTATGTCTAAAAAATAAACAACGCCATCGGGAAAAGTATCAACTGTGAAATTTAAGTTCGGATCGAAACTATTGAACTTAGCTAAAACGGCGGAAATATTGGAAGGTTTTATCAAAACAAGAGTGTCATCAACGTAACGTTTATAGAATTTTATAGTACCATCGGCAATGAACTCGGAAACTATTAATCTTTCAAATTCAGTTAAAATTATATTAGCTAAGACAGGTCCTAATGAAGAACCCATAGAAACGCCGTCTTTTTGGACATAAATTTGCTCGTCAAAAGAAAAGGCAGTTTTGTTGCTACAATCCAAAATGAGTTTTTTCAAAGTGCGTTTTTTCAAAGTGGTTGTAATTAATTCGTCTTTATAAATACGATCTAGAATAATTTTGACTGTGCGGGAAAGTGGAACATTGGTAAAGAGGGATTCAACATCGAAAGAAACGAACTGGTAGCCTTCTTGAAACAAATGCTTGGGAATATTGTTAATATTGGTCACCGCATCAAAAGAATCCGAAAGAGAATGATCGTTTAAAGTAAGAGGATTTAGTAAAGAAGATAAAAATTTTCCAACGTTGTAGTGTGAAGTGTTAGTAGTGTCAACTATTGGTAGGAAGTTAGGTAAAGTGTCAAATTTCTTGTGAGTCTTTGGCAAGCCATGTGCTCTGCCAAAATGTGCTGTCATAGGTCTTAGAGCGTCAAGTTGTTCGTCAGTAATTTCATTACGTTTGTGAAGTCTAAGTAGGTAGTTCTGTAAAGAATGAAGGCTAGTTATAATGTCGGGTCATAATCCAATTTCTTAAACTTAGAGGAGTCAGAAAAAAGAGATTTGATGGAAATTACATAATCAGAGCGATTAATGAGCACAATGCCATTTCCTTTATCAGGCTTAAGGATGGCAAAAGTTTCGGTTAGTTTGTTTAAAATGTTTATCTTCTTGCGCCCTAGCTTAAACTCCTTCAAGTCAAGTCAAGATCAATATAATTATAAGTGAAGGAGCGAAGAGAGTTCTTAATCTTATCTTGCACGTATCTTCCTTCCTTGAAAATATCCAAACGTGATACCTGTCTCCAAACGTCTTCAGCCACAGCCATGATTTCTAGTTGGTTAGGTCGAGTTATAATCCATTCTCAGTTATTACTATTTTCTCTATCATGTATCGCTTCGCTTGGATAATCCTTCTTTCCGCCCACATGACAGAGGCTCTCTCTCTGCGTTGTATATATATATATATATATATATATATATATATATATATATATATATATATATATATATATATATATATATATATATATATATATATATATATTCCTTTATCAGGCTTAAGGATGGCAAAAGTTTCGGTTAGTTTGTTTAAAATGTTTATCTTCTTGCGCCCTAGCTTAAACTCCTTCAAGTCAAGATCAATATAATTATAAGTGAAGGAGCGAAGAGAGTTCTTAATCTTATCTTGCACGTATCTTCCTTCCTTGAAAATATCCAAACGTGATACCTGTCTCCAAACGTCTTCAGCCGTCTTATTTCTGTTCCGGTCATCACCAAAATTACACAAAAGCCGGGCTTGAATATACAACAAATTTTGAATCGCATCAAGCACAAAAATACTTAACGTGTAACCAAAATATGCTCATGAAATCGAAATTAATAGCTAAATTTTCAAACTAGACTCGAAGCGGTTTTCATGAAGGAAGTTCACATTTCGGCCTTTGATTCTTGGCAAAAATTTGACCACAACACGTGCGAAGCAACTGGGTCTCAAAGACTGAACTAAAACATTGTGAGCCCCTATTTTCCTGACGATATGTTTGATACCTACAAACGCCGAAAACTTTTTTCTTTTCATTTAGCTATATTTGAAATTGAGGCCACGGGCTATTTTTGAGAAAATACAGTTCAAATCAAGCTATTTTTACATATTTTCAAAATTTGTCAAATTTCGCGAGCTTGTATTTTGAACTTAGACAGCTGAAGTTACATTAAGAAACATAGGATGAAAAATTTGAGGCATATAAAGTTAATTTCAACTTACATTTCATTCTCAAATCACGTCTTTCTTCGTTTATTACGGTTTTAAACAAGCCATAGATCGACGTATACGGTATTTACTCCCATGTTCAAGTCGCCATATTAACTTCTTCCAATCACTCGATTACAAAACAATCATCCCAAAACAAAGAATTCATGATCGACTTTTAAAAGAATAACCAATAATTTGTAAATCTTTGAATGGAAAGCAAAAAATCGTCAGCTAAAACGCTTCTTGCTAACTTTCTGCTTTGTTTTGAATGTAAATGCAATGAGCTTTGTTTCTGCCCGCAATTTTTTGGTCAGCGACGACAAATTTCCCACCTGTTTCAACCGCCTCCTTTCCTCTGAGAAAACCAAGATTGTTTGTAGACACCAGAAAAAGCTGTCCGTCTTAACCGCACTGAAACGGACATCAGATGGTATCACTGAGAACCCGAACGAAACAATTGTGAACTTGACGAATCACTCGCTCTCGTCCGATGAACTAGATGTTTTGAAGTTGGGACTCAGATATGGCCTGGCAACTCGACCTAACCAACTAGAAATCATGACTGTGACTGAAGACGTTTGGAGACAGGTATCACGTTTGGATATTTTCAAGGAAGGAAGATACGTGCAAGATAAGATTAAGAACTCTCTTCGCTCCTTCACTTATAATTATATTGATCTTGACTTGAAGGAGTTTAAGCTAGGGCGCAAGAAGATAAACATTTTAAACAAACTAACCGAAACTTTTGCCATCCTTAAGCCTGATAAAGGAAATGGCATTGTGCTCATTAATCGCTCTGATTATGTAATTTCCATCAAATCTCTTTTTTCTGACTCCTCTAAGTTTAAGAAATTGGATTATGACCCGACATTATAACTAGCCTTCATTCTTTACAGAACTACCTACTTAGACTTCACAAACGTAATGAAATTACTGACGAACAACTTGACGCTCTAAGACCTATGACAGCACATTTTGGCAGAGCACATGGCTTGCCAAAGACTCACAAGAAATTTGACACTTTACCTAACTTCCTACCAACAGTTGACACTACTAACACTTCACACTACAACGTTGGAAAATTTTTATCTTCTTTACTAAATCCTCTTACTTTAAACGATCATTCTCTTTCGGATTCTTTTGATGCGGTGACCAATATTAACAATATTCCCAAGCATTTGTTTCAAGAAGGCTACCAGTTCGTTTCTTTCGATGTTGAATCCCTCTTTACCAATGTTCCACTTTCCCGCACAGTCAAAATTATTCTAGATCGTATTTATAAAGACGAATTAATTACAACCACTTTGAAAAAACGCACTTTGAAAAAACTCATTTTGGATTGTAGCAACAAAACTCCCTTTTCTTTTGACGAGCAAATTTATGTCCAAAAAGACGGCGTTTCTATGGGTTCTTCATTAGGACCTGTCTTAGCTAATATAATTTTAACTGAATTTGAAAGATTAATAGTTTCCGAGTTGATTGCCGATGGTACTATAAAATTCTATAAACGTTACGTTGATGACACTCTTGTTTTGATAAAACCTTCCAATATTTCCGCCGTTTTAGCTAAGTTCAATAGTTTCGACCCGAACTTAAATTTCACAGTTGATACATTTCCCGATGGCGTTGTTCATTTTTTAGACATAAAAGTCTCGGTTGATGGTACTGACATTTATCGTAAGGACACCCACACCGGTCAGTATTCACATTTTTCAAGTTTTGAGCCTTTTCATCGCAAAACTGCATGGGTAAAATCTCTGTTCTACCGGGCTTTTAAAATTTGCAGTTCAAAAACACTTTTCAACAATCAAATTGAAACCATAAAATCTTTTATGTCTTGGAATGGTTATCCTAATAGCGTTAGAAACTTTTTGATTAAAAAGCTTAAAACCAAATATATTGATAATTCTACTTCCGATGCCGTTAATCATGACACTGATGATGATATGTTGCCTAAAATTTGGATTCGTATTCCTTATCTCGGAAACCGTGGCGATTTTCTTTTAAAATCATGTCTCAATAAAATACAAATATTTCTTTCTAAACCGGTTAAGTTCATCACTATTTATGACACTAAAAAACTCTCTTATTTTGTTTCCAACAAAGATAAACTTCCTCCTTTATCTCGTAGTAATCTTGTATACGAGGTCGCTTGCCCTGGTTGTGGCAAAACTTATATTGGCATGACACAAAGATGCCTTTCTGTACGTTTGAAAGAGCATGCAACTAGGCTCTCTTCTAGTGCAGTGGGCCAACATTTTTCTGAATGTGAACATGCTCAATTCTTAGCTACTTTACAAGACCAGTTCACACTACTCAACGATCTTCCTTTGCCTTCTGACAACTCTTCTCCTATTGAAAACCTTGTTTTCAACATCTACAGAATACTTCACATTACAAAATCTAACAACTACAACATTCTTGCTTTTCTTGAAGCACTGCTTATCAAACATAACAAACCTTTTCTTAACACTGGACTTAAAGCTAGTAAAGAACTACAACTGTTCACATAACACTTTAACTTAATATCTTCTACTTGTCGGGTCTTCCGTTTCTATCTTATTCCTTTTAATATATTAAACATTGTTGTAAATATAGCGAAATAATCCATTGTCAGTTATTACTATTTTCTCTATCATGTTTCGCTTCGCTTGGATAATCCTTCTTTCCGCCCACATGACAGATGCTCTCTCTCTGCGTTGTATATATATATATATATATATATGTGTTGTAAAGTATTGTATTTCATTCTGTCTGAAGATGACTTTGAAATAAAGTCGAAAATTTACAGTGTCAAACTGCGTCTTGTTTTGAATTATATATTGAATTCTCAAGATGTCCTGTATTTTCGGAATTTGCTTTTTACTGTATTAAAAAGACTCAACCATGCTCTTTCCACCGTTCCATTCTGATGTGGGGAATATGGTGCACTAGTCTCATGCCTTATCCCATTTTCTCGAAGAATAGATTTGAATTTATGATTAGTGAATTCTGTGCCATTGTCACTCCTGACACGCTTAACCCTCCCAAAAGGAGCAGCATCAGCCAAAAATTGCTGTAATGCTTCTGGGTTATCACTCTTACATTTTAGAAAATAGACCATAATAATCCCTGAATAGTCATCAACGAATGACAAAGCATACTTAAAGCCATCTCTTCCTACAGGATCAATAGGACCAGCCAGGTCACAATGCACAAAATCTAATGGAGCAGTTGCTCTTTCATCTGGGGATCTATTCCTAAATTGGCACATCTTACCTTTAGTGCAAACAGTACTCTACTTCATCATAGTTGGAAATATTCATCCCCTCTACAACATTTTCCAATTTCTGAACATCACCATAATTACAGTGACCAAGGATTTTATGCCATTCATGCAGAGAACATGCACTATTCTTAGAGGATGAAATATTATTTAAATTATATAACCTACCTTTTTGTTCCATTCCAAACGTTGTGCCATCAGGACATTTGAGCTGTTTCACCTGCTTATCTAAACTAATACTGGCCCCCCTTTCTATCACAGCATGCACTGAAAAAATATTTTGATCATAGGACGGAACATACAATGCGCTATTTAACATTACTTCACGTGCATTACCATTGACGTCATAAAGTTTAACTTTGGCATTTCCTTTTCCTAATACTACGTTGGCTTTACTGCCATCAGCGAGTTCTATGACATGCGCACTAGGATTAAATTCTTTATCAAAGTCCACAAATTTTGATTTGTCATTTATAATGTGACTTGTGGCTCCAGTATCTACTAATAAACTAGAATTACTCTTATTATTTATACCTGATATATTAATTGTGTCCTTGGATGTAAAGGCAAACGTATGTTCATTGTTCTCACTTGACGTTGTTTTCTCGGCTGCTGTCTTCGCCGCATCTTTCTTCTTCCGGCATTCTTTGTCTCGTGGGTTATATTTTTACAGTTGCTACACCATCTTTCCGATGTCTTCGACCAACACTCCACGCTTTTATGTCCCTTTCTCCCGCATTTAAAACAGTTCCCATCGAACTTTTGCTTCGTCAACATAATATTCTCCCCCGCGCTGGCAGGCTTCCCACCATGTGTCTTTGCGCTTTCCTCGTGGCTTCGTAGCGCGCTCTTGAATTCGGCGAAAGTCATTTGTTTCTCTCTTTGCACAACTACCGTGGCAAACGTGTTGTATTCCCTCGGTAAGCCTTTCAAAACCATCGCGATTAACAATGCGTCGCTGATAGCTTCCTCGGCATTTCGTAACGCTGTCGCAAATGACTCGGCTCGTATGACATAATCGACTATTGGCTCGTTCTCTTCTTTCTTTAGCGATGTCAGTTCGGTATAAAGCGAAATTATACGTGGCTTTCCCTTCCCTTGGTAGTGCTGTCTGAGAACTTCTAGCGCTTTCCTTCCGTCGTCTCTCGCGTCTCGTATCACTAGCGATAAACTTCTATCGTCCAGACATTGCACGAGTTTGGCAAAAGCATCAGCTTGCGTCGAAGCGTCTGGTGGGTCTTTCTCGCTTGTGTGTCGCACGAATACTTTGTATAACTTTTGTAGCCGCATATAGCCCAGGAACTTTACTTCCCACAACTCATATTTGCTTTCGTTACCGTCGAATAGCAAGCCTCTTCTGGGCCCATAACCTGTTGAGTTCGTTGTAGTTGTCATTATTATATAATTGTCATTCTTTATTACAAGAGATACACACTCTGTGGAAGCATACAAGAACTAAGTTTTATCTTACATCAAGTGCGTTTATGTTACAATGTGCTAAATTACAATTGGTCAGAATAATTGTTAATCATGCTATATATGGTATTACAGGAAATATATTGTATTCATTGTCTTAATCATATCATTGGTTAACTGAACTAAAATCACAACTAATTACATTATATGAAGTATTATGAGCATAACTTAACAGTAAGGATCTGTAATGAATTGCAAATCCATGTTCGCACGCCACGTTTGCAAGATTTTGGGATTGTATTGGTTGATCCATCTTTCAGAAGGCTGACGTTGGAGCTTGATACCTATTCCCGACTTCATTAGTTCAAGGGCTCGCTCGTATAAGTGCGGTTCCACATTAGCTTTTTGTAGCAAGGACTGTAAAGTGATTTCCTCTGGAATGTTTTTGTCTTCCATCAACTCTCGAACTTTACGAAGCACTTCTTGGTTTGTCTTCAGAATGTTTTGTAGAATAGTTGGATCGGAATCATCAGGTGGTCTTGCTATCAATGTTTTCCCGCTTGGTGGATGAGGGAACCTGACCTCTGTAGCTCAGTTGGCTAGAGCGCTGCTCCGGAATCGCAGGGCCGTAGGTTCAATTCCTACCAGAGGACCTTGTGCTGCATTTTTCGCAGTCGTTCCTGGTTAGGTCTTAAAATGTATATATTCTCACTTGGATTACACACCCTAACTTTCTAATATTAATTCCAACAAGTGAAGTGCAAGAATCCAAATTATTGAAGTCCACCTTATCATAACCCGCACACCCGATTACCTAAATATACATGAACTTACGGTTAAAGCTCAACAGCTGGCCCCTGTAGCTCAGTTGGTTAGAGCGCTGCTCCGGAATCGCAGGGCCGTAGGTTCAATTCCTACCAGAGGACCTTGTGCTGCATTTTTCGCAGTCGTTCCTGGTTAGGTCTTAAAATGTATATATTCTCACTTGGATTACAAACCCTAACATCCTAATATCAATTCCACCAAGTGAAGTGCAAGAATCTAAGTAATTCAATTCCACCTTATCACAACCCGCACACCCGATTACCTATATATACATGAACTTACGGTTACAGCTCAACAGCTGGCCTCTGTAGCTCAATTGGTTAGAGCGCTGCTCCGGAATCGCAGGGCCGTAGGTTCAATTCCTACCAGAGGACCTTGTGCTGCATTTTTCGCAGTCGTTCCTGGTTAGGTCTTAAAATGTATATATTTTCACTTGGATTACAAACCCTAACATCCTAATATTAATTCCACCAAGTGAAGTGCAAGAATCTAAGTCATTCAATTCCACCTTATCACAACCCGCACACCCGATTACCTATATATACATGAACTTACGGTTACAGCTCAACAGCTGGGCTCTGTAGCTCAGTTGGTCTCTAACCAACTGAGCTACAGAGGCCAGCTGTTGAGCTGGGCCGTAGGTTCGCAGGGCCGTAGGTTCGCAGGGCCGTAGATTCGCAGGGCCGTAGGTTCAATTCCTACCAGAGGGCCTTGTGCTGCATTTTTTGCAGTCGTTCCTGGTTAGGTCTTAAAATGTATATATTCTCACTTGGATTACAAACCCTAACATCCTAACATAACCCTACATGAACCACGTTTTCTGCAAGTCGATGAGTGTACATGTTTTTGCAAGGAGAGGACAAGATTTCTTAGGTCGGTGTTTTCATCAGGAATAACACATGTCTTGTATTTGTCAATGAAAGAGATAACTTCTTCGTCAGTATTGGCATCAAGTTTATGGGCATCTTTAATCCATATAATTGTGTGTGCATGGGGAGATCCTCGAGCTTGAAATTCTATACGGATCATATAGTCTTGCAGTTCGCCAATTGGATTGGCCTTTCCGCCTGTGAACTCTTTGAAGAATTGATCCAAGCGATGTTTGAATTGACGGGATGCTGTCACTGGGTTGGAACGTAACCATTTGCACTTTTCCACCCATGGCATATTTTTTACATCATCGGCCGTCATTACTTTACCATATTGACGTGCGATGCTCTGGATAACTTCAGGCCATTGCATATCTGCTGCGGAAAGAGTCAAAAACCATGTAGGCATTCCAAGTTGTCGCACCATGGCTAATAAATCTAGCAAAACAGTTTTCCAATAAGCAGGAGATCCACGAACATTCTTCAGAAACTTGAATGCTGTATCCGTACGAATCATAGCTTGTAGATTATCGGATGACTTAACCAGGCCAGCGTTTACCGTTCGGTTTTGGAATGATTGGCCACGAGTCTGTCGTAAAGTTATTTGCATATCATCCCGAACTTGTTTTGCTTCAACTGTATACTGTGCAGCCAAGAGGTAATCAATATCACTGGCGAATCGGCCATCTTTGTGTAATAACCTCTGATTAAAATATTTTCTGGCTGTGATTTTTCTCTGTCTTTTTGTTGATAGGCCGCCACGGCCATAAGGATATTTAGAAGGGTTAGCCAACTCCTCAAATTTTTCATCCATCAAGAATGCGCACGGTGTTTGATTTTCTCCAGGAGCTATAGAATATGTGCTATCATCATTGACAAGTTGTTGTTCGTCTTGCAACAGGGTATCATATGGGATTCCTCGAAGTTTGCTTGTTTGCTCGTAGTCGTAGGCAATAATGTCTTCTTCATCTTCAATTTGGTTGGTTGCTTCCTAAAAACGTGATTCATTTCTAATCATCTCTTCAACATTTTCAAGAGCAACATAATGAAGTTCTCCCATTTGGCCAAGTGTAATAGTATTGTCAGTCGTTTGCTGTCTGGGTTGAATTTGGTGTATCCAGTTAGGTGTGATCGTGTTAATAACCCTTATGTTAACGTTTAGCATATCAACCACACCTTGTACTGCCAGATTGTCTGCCCATTCGCCATTTCTTAGACGATTAACATATAACTCGAACTCCTGGAGCTGTTGTTCTTCTGTGGAGAGAGAATTGGTAAAAGTAGTATCGTCAAATTCAAGAAAACCCATATAGTGACGTTTCTCGTCTGTTGTCTGAAAATACTGGATAAGTGCAGCTCGAATATCTGGACCACTAATGACTTGTATTCCAGCTGCACGAAGACAAAATGATACCGCATGAAAGAAACAATTCCCATCTCCGGGTACATATTTAATCTTCAAGTTATGTCTTCTGGCTAAATGTGTTAACAGCTGATAATCATTTTCCAATTGGTGAAAGTGAAAGGGTAGTATCAGATTTTATATAATAACTACAGTACATGGAACACGCAATTTCATTGGTCAACAGCCGTGCAGGATCAGACAATCCTGCACGGGAAATTCTGAACAGAAATTATTGCATATAATTTTACAAATATACTCGCGTTGTACAGTTTCATTGTACGATACCTTTCGACTTTGAAGTAAGTTTCCAATTATTGAGACGTCGGTTTAGTTGTATGAATAAATTTCTGATCGATACATTGCTATTCAGCAAGTAGCAACGCGTAGTAAGCGTTGAAATTCATCAGACCATGGCATGCAAGTACAACATCTCTCGCTTCAAAGTTGATCAAACGCTTCGCAATCTTCACATATTCAGGTCGAGAATCTTCAAAACTACTTTGGCTCTCTGTTTAGCGGGTTTTCCATTCCAACTTTCGTATATTTTATCGAAAAAGTCCCTGTATTTTCGCTGTATACTTTCACGAATTTGCAATCAAATTGACAAATTCTGTTCACATATGTTGTTGTTTTCAATAGCGTGGAGTAGCGATTCTCTGATTGGTTAATTCACGGATGTTGTGAGAACTGCACATTTCATCAGTAATTTTAATCAAGTTAAGCGTCGTTTCACTGTAGTAATTTTGTAAAACAATTACCAAATGGTTTTCCTGTGCAGGATAGCATGATCCATGCACTTGAGATGTTGCTCGACTTTCGGAAAGCGTAAAAATACACTCGCCGTATTTTTACGCTTTCCGAAAGTCTCGCAACATCCCTCGTGCATGGATCACGCAATCCTGCACGGAAAACCATTCGGTATTCCTTTAGTGAAACATGGCATTCATTCAGGCTGCCTGTTGCGGTGTCGAAATTCTCAATAGCTTGGTCCATAATGCATGTTCCTCACATGCCCTTGTCATTGCATTCCAGAGATCAGCGTCGTCTTCTTCCCAATATGTTTCCCAATCCTCACAGACATTGATGTCGTTGTAAAGCTGATTATTTTCTTGCAACCAGCGGAGAGCATCCATCACCCGTTTCGGCCGAACGTATTCGTACATGTAATGTCCCTTATAGGCAAGTATAGCTTTACTGCTACAACTTCAGCACGGTTTGGGAGCCTTGGTACAGTAGTAAGGACGTGACTTACATGGTACATTGACAGCACTGCCATGGATTTCTTTTTGTCCTCCTCTGGGTAGTCCAACAAGTTTCATGAATGGGATTCGTTGGCTTATCAGTCTTAATTGTAATGGTCTCAACCCGTTTGCCCATGACTGCGTAGGTATTAATATTTTTCCTTTTTTTTATGCGTTATGGAAAGTCCTGCATAACCAATATTTTCCATGTGTTTTGACAACAGTGCAGGAATTAAGAATCCTTTCGATGGGCTTACTCGACAAATACTTTTCACGGTTCATCTGAACAACAGATGTTTTGTAAAGGAGGCGATAGCAAGAACAACATGCGTATATAGGTCCATCAGCTATTTTTGAGGCAAATATTGCGGCGCTTGCTTCAGTTGTTACATATTGATTTCGCTCAACATTTTTTCGTTCTTGCCTGTAACGTCTAGAAATTACACAGCGTATTTCAATTTCTTCTGTTGTTTCTTCAGCCCTACGCTTCTGTGCATGTTGTCTCATGGAAGCCCGGCGTATGGTAGTTTCCTCTCGAGTTTCTTGTACTCTGATTTCTTGCATTTTTTCCCTGTTCGAAATACGGCGGGTAGCACTTGCTTCTGGAGTTTCTTGTGCTCTTTTTGTTGCATTTTTTCCCTGTTTAAAATGCGGCGGTTAGTCACGTGTTTCTGCGGTCTCTTGTTCTCTGGCTTCTCTGTTTCTTATCCTCGTGGAAATACGGCGAGTAGCACTTGCTTCTGGAGTTTCTTGTGCTCTGTTTTCTTGCATTTTTTTCCTGTTTAAAATGCGGCGGTTAGTACGTGTTTCTGCGGTCTCATGTGCTCTGGCTTCTTTGTTTCTTATCCTCGTGGAAAGATGGTGAGTAGCACTAATTGCTTCTGGAGTTTCTTGTGCTCTGTTTTCTTGCATTTTTTCCCTGTTTGAAATGCGGCGGTTAGTACGTGTTTCTGCGGTCTCTTGTGCTCTGGCTATTCTGTTTCTTATTCTCATAGAAATACGGCTAGTAGTACTTGCTTCTGGAGTTTCTTGTGCTCTGTTTTCTTGCATTTTTTCCCTGTTTGAAATGTGGCGGTTGGTACGTGTTTCTGCGGCCTCTTGTGCTCTGGCTTCTCTGTTTCTTATCCTCGTGGAAAGATGGTGAGTAGCACTAATTGCTTCTGGAGTTTCTTGTGCTCTGTTTTCTTGCATTTTTTCCCTGTTTGAAATGTGGCGGTTGGTACGTGTTTCTGCGGTCTCTTGTGCTCTGGCTTTTCTGTACATGTTTCTTCTCCTCGTGGAAATACGGCGGGTAGTACTTGCTTCTGGAGTTTCTTGAGCTCTGTTTTGTTGCATTTTCTCCCTGTTTAAAATGCGGCGGTTAGTCATGTGTTTCTGCGGCCTCTTGTGCTCTGGCTTCTCTGTTTCTTATCCTCGTGGAAATACGGAGAGTAGCACTTGCTTCTGGAGTTTCTTGTGCTCTGTTTTCTTGTATTTATTTCCCTGTTTGAAATGTGGCGGTTAGTACGTGTTTCTGCGGTCTCTTGTGCTCTGGCTTTTCTGTTTCTTATCCTCGCGAAAATACGGCGGGTACGTAGTACTTTCTTCTGGAGTTTCTTGTGCTCTGTTTTGTTGCACTTTTTCCCTGTTTAAAATGCGGCAGTTAGTCATGTGTTTCTGCGGTCTCTGGTGCTCTGGCTTCTCTGTTTCTTATTCTCGTGGAAATACGGCGAGTAGCACTTGCTTCTGGAGTTTCTTGTGCTCTGATTTCTTGCATTTTTTCCCTGTTTGAAACACGGCGGGAAGCACTTGTTTCTGGAGTTTCTTCTGCTCTGTTTTCTTGCATTCTTGCTTTGTTCGAATCACGTTGATTTGTCATAGCTTCTTCAGTCTCTTGTGCTCGCATTTTTTGCATTTTTACTCTCATTGATTTACGGTGTGTTGTACAGTTGTCTACTGTTTCTTGTGTTCTGCTTACCTGTTTTGCTACTTTGTCTTTGGCTCGCCGCATTTCACGATCTTCTGACGTTTCTTGTTGCCGTGCCCTCCTCGGATTGTTGCTTCCTGCTTTGGTCTTTGCTCTTACACTTAGTCCTCGGCATCGTATATGTGTATACTGCAGGCATATATTTGACATTAAACAAAAATCTCTTCAGCTTTGTATATGAAAATGTTTGTTGATGCATAAATTAAGCCATTAATATTATATTACAAAGGTAATATGTTAATGGCGTAAAGTCTTGATCATATACGCTTCAGAAGTAACAATAAACTTCACTAATTATACACTGCAGGGGTATCAAAAAGAACGCCGGTAAACTATTGATGTAATCTATTGTTATTGGATCAGGAACTTGGTCCCCAATCTCTGCTAATCTTATTCGGTATCGATTGACGGTGTTCGATTTTTCATTTTTTACTTTAGAAGCATGATACAAGCAATTCTTGACTGTATTCGTAGCAAATAATATATTCATATCATTAATATTCAGCAAATACAGGGTGTATAAAAAAAACGCAACTTAGCCGCGGAATTTCCCAAGAAATCGACATTGTTTAAGGACAAAAGATTTTAGGTGCCTGGGAATTTAAAGTAACACAACTGTCAAAATTACTGCACACGCGAGTGATAAAGAAAAATGTATGTATTTAATTTATTTAACAGTACAACAACAGCATTATGATCTATTAGCAACTGGATTTCAATTCCCAGGGGCCTAAAATATTTTATGCTTAAGAATTGCAAACTCGATTTCTTAGGAAATTCCGAGGTTTGTGTTTTTTTATACACCCTGTATACGTATATCAGCAGTTGTAAATCTCACTTATATCAGGGAGGCTGCTCTAAAATCGCGTGCTTTACAAATATATTAGCCCGATAGGAGTATTACTCCTGTGGGCTTTGAGATACTAAGCCAGTGTGTTAAATTTAGTCTAACTTAACGCTTATAATTAGTCGTTATAATTAGTCGTTTCACATTCTTGAGAAACTTGACTTCTTTGAAAAACTCACGAGTGCATGTTTATCCAAATTTCACGAGAAACCATGCTATTACTTATTAATAATTTACATAAAAATGTTCGAGACAATTGTAGTTTTAATTTACGCGTTTATAGCGAACATTCCCCTGACATTGCCACTCCTTAATAATTTATAGCTAAAAATATTTCCAAAGTACTCAAGGTTTGTATTATGAAACAAATATAAGCTTGACAAAACAATAATCCATTTAAATATTTTCAGATACATCTGATCCAGGTTCATCCAATCCGGCATCATCAGACAACAACAGTGGCGTCAGTATTGAAATCATAGTGACCGTTGTTGTTATTGTTGTTATTGTTATAGCAACAGCAATGGTTATCGTGTCATGCCTCATCTGTCGAAGAGAACGAGGAAAAAAGAACTCGCGAGATCTAGATATTGATAACATTCAAAATACTGCTTATGAAGGTGACACACCACGAAACGTAGAACTGCCAGAAATACCTGATCCTGAAAGTGTTTACGAAGAACCTGCAGAATATGCACAACTCGCCAGTTCTTTGAGGGATCCCGTTGATGCAAATTATCAAAGTTTATTAAATGGGCAGAACCACGAGCAGCAGGACAAAGATTGCATGAATGAAAATATTCAGCAGAATCCTTCCATGAGCATGGATAGCAATCCAACTAACGAGGTTCCTGGCGAAACTGAGTACGTAATAATGCCTTAGTGTGATTGAGAGAAGTCACACAAACCATCAAGAATTTTCCGATTATGTTACTTATTTTAATAATTAGCAAATAACAGCGAAACTTAATCTTAGTAGGTTCACAACATTTTGTTTATTTCAGCACTTTTGTATATTTATTTTGAATACATTACTAAAATGAAATCTGTTACCAATTACGTTGCGCACTTGAATACTAATCAAAATAACAAAATAGATATATAGATAAACGTTGAAATGTAGAGTTTTACTGATTTGTATTCAACAATTTAATCAAACATCAAGGCTCAAGAAAGATATTCTTAGCGAATTAAATAAAATTACAAAGTACAATTACAAATTACAAATAAACAAAAATAGAATAGACTTGTGATAAGTTCGTTGTAATAAGTTCTCTGCAGTAATAATTTTTTACTCGCTGGGGCACCTATGCCCAGGCGAGTATTATAGTGTCAGTTTTAATGTATGTATGGAATAAATATTATTATTACAGTATTGCTATATTTGTATCATACGCTGTGTTGATTCCATGCACTAGTTCAGTATCACCGCTGTATCCGTGCGGATATATCCTTAAAATCGTTCTGAAATAAAGTCTACGAAGCCACTGCCAGATATTCGTAACCAAACAGAACAACTCAAGTTAATAATAGTAATACTATAGAAAATACTTTCAATTTGGGGGAGTATGATTTACAGACTGCAGAGTTTTAAGTTTCGACGAAAGCTTTCAAAACTGGTTGTATTGATTGATCGATGTTGTACGTTTAATATCATTTGACACATTCAGGTATTTAGTATCGTTTATAAACATTTAATTTGTATACGTCCAAAACATCGATGATATATTTTGCTTTCTCGAGCCTAAGAATTTAATATTACACTGCACCAATCAATGTTGCAGTGTGGTAATGTCTACTGTGCATATATATATTGCATCGTGCGCATTGTTTTTACTGATGGCTTGTATTGTTGGACCACATTTATATGAAATATATTGAGGACATTACACGGCGGCGCGAAGATATTACTTTTATCTTCGATTGGTGAAAACAATATTTTACGAACGAGCGCAGCGAGTGAGTAAAATATTGTTTCTAACACGAGAAGATAAAAGTCATATCTTCAAGCCACCGTGTAATGTTCTGTTTATTATATAGTCCCAAGCAAAATATTGTGAAATTTCACGCTCAAAAGCAAATTGTGTTTATTACGGCCATGCATGTATGATAGTAACTGCATATACAAACATATTTATATGAAAGATATACGCCAGGTGATTATTGAAAAATAATTATGAAAAATGTTTCCAAGAAGCAAAAGTTTTAATAAACCCAATCAAAACACTTCGCCGTTCTTTTTTCGGACACTTAAGACAAACCTTTTGGCTAGGTTCTTCAAGTCATTTGGGGGATTTCCTCCATTTTTCTACGTTCACCTTCGGCCACCAGAAACTCAAGGAACACTTTTGTTTCGTAGAACTTTTTTCTCGTATTTTCGTTTTCGTGTTCCTCACTGAACCTTTCTACATCATCGTCACTGATTTGGACAAACCTCGCCATGTTGCGAATTGTGAAAGAGACGCGAAGGCAACTATACTCGTAAACAAAGTCACGTGATCGATATCCTCACTAGTGAAGATATGGAAAATATGTCACTGTGTATTTCTCAGTATCTCACTGTCTACTATATAATAATGATAATTATATTTTGCACTCCTCGCTGTGGTCATATTGCGAAATCACGATTACAAATGCGCAATACATTACTGGGTCAACGAAGGCAAAACGCAACCTACAAATTTTCAACACGCCGAAACATAGACTCGAGCTCCCCTGGAGCATGAGTAATAATAAACTTACTTTAAAAGATTTGCAATAAACTTACCTTTAATTCTTCGCAAGAATGTCAATGGAGAAAGAGCAACAAAATTATCTATATGAAATACTATAGAATCCTCAACAGGTAAGTAATGCGGGCGCGTATGAGGTAATTCCCGAACCGACGGCGCGGGTGGTACTAATTCCCCCCGGCTATTTACACCCGGGGAAACGAAAGCATTGGCGAAGTCTAAAGTTCATCAATTATCGCGGGCGTGACCAACGATCTTGAGTGGGTGGTCATCCTTACTGATCTCAAAAATATGGCTGATTGCTTGTAGGAGTGGGATAGGCAAGATTTCAATTTTAAAAGACATATATTTGGAAAATCGTTTCATATACAACAAGCTTGAAGCAATTTTGTTTGAAGAAATGAGAAGAATTGATTTACTATGGGAAATCGTAAAATATAGGGCAAGTTTGCTTTGAATATTTAATTAATGTTTACCAATTTTGTTGCTTTATAAACTTTTTGCCTAAAAACATGAACTGTTTTCCTTTTCAACAAAGCTCTAACTTTCATATATTACCGTTTAATTTAAAATGTAAAGGCGAACAAATTGAAGACTGAACTGAAATTACTTAACAATTT